CACACACACACACACACACACACACACACACACACACACACACACACGATTTCTCATAAAATTACTCTGAAAAACTATACAAGGCTCATTTAGCTGAAAAACGATAGGGTTCGGTTAGCTGAGGGTTGGGGAAATGTTTATTCATGGTTTAGAGATCTGTATTTGTCTGGATAGACTAGAGAAACAAATTCAGACACTCATGTGTATAAGAAAGAACTTTCTATACAAGAGCAATTGAATCTTGAGAAACAGCCCAGTCCAGTTCAAGTCTATAAATCTGACATTAGCCCATATGTCTGATATCAATCTATAAAGTCCTCTTCACACTCATGAAACACATGCAATGATGCCGAATCCTGGAAGATCACAGCCAAGTGGGTGGAAAGTCTTGTTGATCCAGTGGCGGTTAGAAGCATCTCGACGCTGGCAGGGGTCTCCATGCGGCTCCTCCAGCTCTAGAGCACTAGTATATCTCCATGTGTCTTGTCAACGGAGATGTTTCTCAGGGAGTAAGCATGTGTGCTGCCTCTGGTGAGCTATTTATCTTCGTAGCACCTCCAAATGAGGTCATCAAGCTGTGATCTGATCTGATTAACAGGCTAAACTCTACCCCTTCACTCTTAATCCCCTCAAATTGACAACAGATTATGTAACTACCATAAGATCTGTAAGAATAGTATGGGGGAAAAAATAGTATGGGAGTGGTCTCTGACCTCTAACTTTACAAGAGAGAAAGAAGAGAATCATCATTAACATCAGCCACTGGCCAATTCCACCACTTTTTCCTCCTTTACCTGCCACCAGCTGCCCCTCCCCAGGCAAGCCCTCATTATGCTGGGTCAGGTAACTTATTGCAGTGACAACATGGAATTCACAGACAGTATTCACAAGTACGGGGTTTACTGGGAAAGGTAACAGGTTACAATTCAAGATCAGAAATACTCAGGATACAGTTCTTCCAGTCAAGAGTACCTTTCCTCAGCAGAACCACAGGCACACCTCTCTGTTCCTCCACTTCTCAGCCACACGGCCCTTTGCCTCTGTCCTGCTCCAGCCAGTGTTACGTAGCTCTTCGAGAACTGTGGATACATGTCCAACGGGCCTACTCCTGCCATAAGCCTCAAAGGCCCTGGGCCTAGTGTTGTAGATTAACTGCTTAGAAGCCACCTCCTCTGCCAGTGAGCCTTCCACCCAGAGACATTGGACTTGACTTGCTCTCTGCGCTGCCCATATGCTGGTTCCTGCCTTCGGTTCTTGGTGCCACTGCCTTTGCGGCTGCTTCTCCACATTTCTGTTCCGGGACGTCTGGCTCCTGGGTTAAGGAAGCTAATTGCACGGATCTTGAGGTCCAAGTAAATAGCTTTGCTCTTGGTTCTTTTTTTATGGGCCATGAGATCCTTGATGCCTGCTTTTGAGATGGCTCATTTCAAATGGCAAATCCTACCAATCCCCACATTAGAGTCCCACCTATCTTTCATGGTCTTACCTACTTATTTGATAGGGCTGGAAGAGCCATAATTCACCATCCCTGAAGATCACAGTTCCATCTTTGCAAAATTCAGCTCTGAAACCAGGGCCTCCAACCTGTTCTTTTTGAGTTGAGCCCCTGTTGACAATTTGCATTTTCATCCCAGATATACTGAATTTACATTTTTTTTTTTTTGGTTAGTTCAAGGACTGTTTGTTGGCCTTTAGGAGTGTTTTCCAGTCCAGTCTGTTGGGGCACCAAGGCCTGGCCCCAAAGTCTACCTTCGGCATTCCCTGGGGACCTCACTGCTCCATTCCCTTGCTGTTCTGTTGCACACCCTTAGTGTTTTGCCTCGGTGTGGCAGGATCAGATTGGGCGTAATTCCCACACTGTGTCTCCGATGTTGTCTCCTGCAGGGCTATGTGAATTTACATTTTAACAAGAGCTTCTGAACTTGGGGTCCAACTAGAATGTATTGCAAAGCCCTGCCTGGAACATCATTCCCATCAAATGCTAGTGCTTGTGGAGCCTTCCCAGGGTGATTATTAAAAGCTGTTGGCCTGTCTGTCTGTCTGGGTCATGCTTGACACCCATACACATTAGCACAGAACGGTGATCTTGCGTGTTCACCTTACTGAGAGCCTGCCCCAGAGGCTATTCTTTTCATCCTTTTGAAACCTTAAAAACACTTGACTCACATTTAATATATATTAGGCATGGCAGCCATTCAAATTAATTAATTTGGGGGTGGGGGTGGTGAAAGTATATGCAGTAAAACATAGGCACTGCTTCAACAGTTTGGATCTGTGTGATCCAGTGACAGATTTCAGATTGCTTATTTTGTTGGTTACTATTTTGGTCCTACGGTGTCGTTGATCTCAGGTAGATAACTCTGAAAGAACGTAGTGTTCAAGGCAAGCACTCTTTTTTTCCCTTTCCAAATAGTTTTATGGGTTTATACTTCTCATATCATACAATATAATCATTCAGTCATATTGAGAGAGTTTGTGCAATCATCACCACAGTCAATTTCACGTGTTCTTTTCATACTCCTTGTGATCTCTACATTTCCCTGTATCCTCTCCTGCCAATGATCAATGCAGGCACTGTCTCTATAGATCTGCCTATCCTGGGTTTCATATACAGAAAATCATACAAAACACTTAACAAGAAAAAAATATATATCAATGACTGGGAAAAACTTCAAGAAGAAAGCAGAAACTAAAAACAAACAACTTTAAAATCTGCCAAAAAGGGGGATCAAATGATGTTATTACATTTTAGCCTAACGATGTCGGCCATAATCAACTATAGAATGCTGTTTGGTAATGAGGCTGTTCACATGGGATCCTGCAAATGGATTTGGGGCTTCCACTGTCATCCACAGCCTTCTGCAAGTCAGGTGTTTACAGTTAAGCCCTCCTACCACCCCCTCCATCAGAATTGGAATTCATTATTTACAATACTTGAATCACACAGGCTGGTGTCCTTCTTCCATATGGACTCGATGGACGCCTCATTTAGATGGCAGCTTGCTTGAAGACAAGCCTTTAAGACCCAGACGCGAGTCTCTGATAGGCAGGCAGGCACCAGCTTCTTCACCACTTAAAGCTAGTGTTCTTAACCGAGCGAAACCAGAGTTTTAAAATGACTTCATGGGATAGTTTAGATTCAAGGCTTAAGAATTGTTTCTAGGCAATAGACTTAGGGGTTCACCCGGTCGCCATGGACTCTGTCGAGCTGGTTTCCATGAGAATCTGGAGTTCTGTTTCCCATTTGTTCTCTTCTTGATCGGGATCCTGATCTCTGATCCTCGGCATGGCATGCATTTTAAAAGAACAAATAACAGCTCACTGGATTTCTCAGAGTACATACTTTGCCTCGGGCCTCAGGAGTTGTTAGCCAAAATGGTAACTCACTCATTCGTGTGGGTTAACTCTGGAACCACACCAGACTCACTGGCAACACATGGATTTCGACTCTTAAGGACCCTATAGGACAGTAGACCTGCCTCTGGGATTCTGAGGCTCCACGTGGCTAAGGGAGCAGAAAGCTTCATCTTCCTCCTACCGACCGGCAGGCCATGGGTTAGTAGCCCATGCACTAGGCGACCAGGGCTCCTTTTGGAATAGAGAAGTCAAAAGCTGCTGGGCATGCTGAGATGCCTGCTGTTTAGATGTGGGACTCTCACAGTTGTAAGGTGCAGCTCTTGTCAGCCAGCTAGCCCAGAGAAAAGAAATCTTTTGGGCAGTGATTCGTGAATTTTAGTGCGCCCCTAAATTTTCTTGTCCTCTTGATCAAATGCAACCCCCCCCTCCCACCCCCCAGGCAGAAGCCCTAGGGATTCTGCTTGAGAAACTCAGGGATGGGGGCCCAGGCCTGGGGCTGTTTAGCAAGGTACCCACATGTTCCTAATTTGACTGGTGTGTGGGCTGCTTGCCATAAAACTCATGGTTTTTGTTTTGTTTAACTCATGGTTTTTTCACCAACTTTATATGGAGTTTTAAATATGGGCCTTCACTCTGAGGCAAAAAAAATCATCACCTCTGTGTTCTTAGCTGGAGGGTCTATTAAGCCTTGAAGAGAAATAAAGATGCCCATCCTGTAAGCTTTCTTTCACCTCTACCCTTGTTACTTTTTAAGGCCTTTATTGTCCTAAAGGAGGAACATTTGTTTTCATTTAAAAATGGTAAGACTTTTTTTTTTTTTTTGACCATCTATCTCCTTACAAAAGGAACCCTAAGGGTACAAGTTGGGCTGCTAACCACAAGGTTAGCAGTTCAAACCCACCAGACACTGAGGGGGAAAGATGGGGCTTCTGGTTCCTATAAAGATGTAGTCTCAGAAACTCTCAGAAACCCACAGAGGCAGTTCTATCCTGTCCTAGAGGTCAATACGAGTCTGTATCGACATGGTGGCAGAGTTGGGTTTTTTTTTTTTAATCTCAAGAACAGTGATTAAAGGGGAGTAAAATAAGCCCAGGAAAATCTAGTACTCCGAGCCTGTGGCTGGATCCTTCCACGGGTACCCTCCACAGGAACCCTCCATAGGTACTAGATGCAAACACATCTAGTGACACCAATTTTGCAGCTGAATTTCACACAGCTAAGATTTTTGAGCTGAAGATGCTAATGCCCAGAGGGGACTTTCAGAAGAACACTGGTAATCTTACGACCTATTTCAAACTTGGGGGCACAGCTGCTGCTGGATGAAAGTACAGGTCAGCCATTGTAAAGGCCTTTCTGTAAGACATTTTTGGGAAAACCATGTGTTCAAACTATAGTAAACCTTGAAACACACACACACGTGCTTTACTGCCTCTCTGGGCACTTCTTATACCCACGTCGTCAGGCCTCCCTCATTCTCTCTTCCATGCCGGCGGACCTGGCCAGGAGTGGAAGCAAGTTGGAGTTGAGCAGCTTCGGCTCAGTACCGTGGACATGACTGGTGTGCCAACCTTGACCCACCTGCAGAAAGGAGTGCAGTTCGTCCTCAAGTACCAGTCACTGGGCCAGTGTGTCTACGTACACTGCAAGGCAGGGCGGTCCAGAAGCGCCACCATGGTAGCAGCGTATTTAGTTCAGGTAGGCATGGCCTTTGTGGGCTGGCCTCATTCACGGGAGGTTTCTAGAACTTTCCTTAGCCCAGTCCTGCCAGTGGGCCTCTGTGGAAGGAGCCCCGCCCCCAGTTTCAGGCTGTGGGGTGGTGACGTGGGATCATAGAAAGTACCTGAGCTTTGAAGCCTGGCAGCCCCCAGCCTCCACCACCTGCCAGTGCTGTCGACCTTGGGCAGAAATTGAAAGTGGCTTTGCCTGTCTAGTGCGGGGTTCCCTTACACCGTGTCTTGCAGCCGGCATGAGCAAGTACGTACGTCACGTTCTGGCTTCCAGCAGGCGCTCAAAAACGGAGTTGTCCACTGCCAGCTGAAAGCTAGAAGTCCTCCTCATGAATAGCGGGTCAAGAAGTGTAGTACTGTCGATACCTCAGTCCTGGCCACTTCTAGCCCTCGTTATAAATAGCGGGTCAAGAACTCTAGCAAAAAAAAAAAAGAAATCTAGCATCATAGATAACTAATGGTCCTGTCACGTAGGGTGTGCAGACCCCTCCAAGTGCTTGAGGGTTAACATTCATAGACCCTTCATTGCTAAAACCACGGTTCCAAACGGAATTCTGCCCATCATGTTTTTATAAGTAGGTGGTAGGCTTTTCCAAATCTCAGGCAGAAGCGTGGCCCTCTAATCCACACCCTGCTGACTTTTTGCATCACCAGCCTGGCCCCTGCAGAGCCTTCCCCATGCCCTGTGTGTTCAAAGTAGAGAGATGGGCCTGACCATGTTTGTTCTGTTGATGGGTAAGTATACAGGGTGTCCACCACAAAGGCACTGATTGGCCAGTATGACTGCGGGTGTGCTGGAGGCAAGGCCGCAGGATATTCTGGACCAAATGAGAATCGAACCAGCAGGCTAGACACCTGCAATTTGGGGGTCTCGTTGCGTCCTAAGCCAGTCTCTATCCTTGGAACACAAGTATGACCCTCCTGATTATTTAAGTCCTGGTGATGAGTTGCAGCAATACCTGCTGTACACATTCCTTCCTAGTAATCTACCACCAGTCGTCCAGCCCAATTGGAAACTGAGTAGGCTTAGGTGTCTTGAACTCAGAATCTCAGCTCTTGTGTGTCCAACCTTCTTTCCCTAGGGTTTGGCAGAGTGAGAGTTGGGTAGAAAGATGGATTTGTTCATCCAGCCCCTTGCAGTGTCACGCAAACTGGTTGCCTGAGGTGGTGGTAGGATTCTATTTTTAAATCATGAGGCCTGCTTTCCAAGGTGTAATTCTGGGAGCCCTGTAACCCCCACAGCACATGGGGCAGCTCACGGGCGAAGGGCGCCTTTACACCTGCTCCTTTCTGCTTTCCAAACCCTACACTTCAGGTGCACAACTGGAGTCCAGAAGAAGCAATCCGCTTCATCAGCAGTATCCGGTCACACATCCACGTGAGACCTGGCCAGTTACAAGTGCTCAGGGAGTTCCACAGGATGACTGTAACAGCTGCACAGGAGACATCATGAAGTTCGAAGATGCGAAAGCGCTTAAGACAATCCTGCTTGCTACAGATTAAGAGTTTATCAGGACCAAAGGGGCCTAAGCCCAGACTCGCCATACCAGAAGCATGCTAGTAATGGATAATTTTGCCTTGTCGTCATTGCATTTTCCTGAAATAACGGTTTCATGGCTAGCAGATTCGGTGTGGCTTCGATTCCTGGGATGAGAAACTTGGGCCAGAGATGGGTGTGTCTTATTTTTGTGATGGGGCCATAGTATTAATTTCAACTACAAAATGGAGCGTGCCTAGTGATACTGGGCACCAGGAAAAGAGAAGCGCTCAGCTCTGGCTCAGCCGCTGTCCAGGCTGACTCCTCTGGCCCCGCGGTGTGGTGGGGTGTGGTGGCGGGGGCTTCCCCTCTATTTTGGAGCAGTGATTTTTATGTGGAAAGGATAGCTGGGATAAAATCAGTATTGCTGACTTAGAAATGTGTGGGTGTGTGATTAGTTCCCTTTAGGAAGTCAGCCCTTCAGAATTCCAACACACATACATACACGCACATGCCTTCTAAAACTTTATTTGTATTAACAGTACCTGGCTCTTGACTCAGCTTAGAGCCTGTAAAAGAGTAGAGTTTGGGGAAGAAAAAAAAAAGTTTCTACCAATTGGCAGGAGTCCTTTCTCCTTCTTTCTGGCTTATGCCCTTCCTACAGGAGTAGGAAGTATGTACCTCTTGCCAGGCTGGTGAGAAAACAATGGAAGGAACATCCTTAGGGGTTGACTTGCTGATGACACACACCTTCAGCCTCCTCCACTCTCCCACATAAAACCTGCAGGGAAACTCTACCACCTCATTATTTGTAGGAAAGAAAAGAGAGTTAAAAAAAACGAAAACCCAACTTACTGGCCACTTTGCAGGCTATAGACAAAAGTAGAATTGAGTATCTTTGTGTCTTGGGATCAAGGTGCTTCTATTTTACACTGATGGGGGGGGGGGGGCAGGTGGCAGGTGCTGTTTGTGTCTAAGGTCTGACTGAGAGCCAGCCTGCTCTCACTCTAGTGAGACAGGTTACCGGGAGAGGACAGCCAACTGGGGGCACTGGGGGTGAGGCACACACAGTTCAGGCAGCCAGCTGAGAGCAGCGGTTGAGGGCCTCAGACAACACCATGATGGGTTCAGGGAAGGGCTGAGGCTCTGCCTTCCTAATCAACACCATATTCTGAATTGGGGGGTGGGGGGGCCCATGGGGACACACAAGGGCTTGAGAGTTTGGATGGGTACAGAACTGAATGGGGGAGGGCACAGGAGTCCGTTGCTCCCCCCCTCCTCCCACAGCCTTAGGCCAACACAAACTGCAAATTGGTAAGCAGCACCTTAATGCCACTAGTGACGGTGACAGCTGAAGTGGCAGGGTCGAGCTTATAGGTGTTGGTGTCCCCCTTTCTGTACCGGTCCCGGAACACATAGATGCTCCCATTGCAGCTGGCGATCTTCCAGAGGGATGGGGCCGAGCTCCAGGCCTCGGGAAGGCAGAGCCTGGTGAAGCTGTCGAGCCGGGGATTGTAACAGACCAGCGCGTCCCCCTCGGCCACAATGAACACCAGGTCCTTGTGCACAGCCGCATGCATGCGACCGGCACAGGGCAGCGAGTAGGGCTTGACGTGGCACCTGTCGGTCTCGGTGTCAAAGCACTGGATGAGCCGGGATGGTTTGGTGAAGAAATCCAGGTCGTTCTCTTCCCCGCCTAGTAAGTAGATGACCCCGTTGAGGTTGGCGCCAGCTGCCCCGGACACAGCCACCTCCAGCTGCGTGGTCTCCGTCCATACATTATCAACTACCCGGTAGTAGATAACGGCGTTGGAGAGGGTGTCCTGCAGTGTCTTGCCACCCAGGGAGTATATGGCATCTTTCCCGGGCACCGACACAAGGGTGTGCTGCAGCCGGTCTCGGGGCAAAGGTGCGCACCATTCCCAGTCCACAGTGTCATTATTGCACTTCCACATGCGCCGCGGGATGGACCCACCCACCACATACAGATCTTCACCATGCTTGCAGGCTGCTGTGATCTGGTGACACAAGCTGTTTTGGCCACTTATACTGATGGAGTCGTCTTCTGCACAGTGCAAAGACACAGCCAACGAGTGGGTGCGACACGACTCTTTCCCGATCAGGTAAATGTGCACACTCTCCTCCGTTTCCTGTTGGCAAAATTACAAATGGCATCTCTCAGAGCCAGGCCAGCGTTCAGCTGGGTGCATATCCTTAAGGGCCCAGACCACATGCGATGATCTTGCTCTAACCTCCTCTCCTCTAGTCATGGGGTCCACCTGGCTCCTTCAGCCACCTCGGCAGGCTACTGGGGACTGAGACCCCTGCACTCAAACATGCAGGGCTCATCTGAGTGGGTGCTTCAGACGAGGACCTTGAACTGGTTCGTTCTGTCTGACACCTGAGAATCTGCCTTTCCACCTCAGACAGAATGACTCAGAATCCACAGGCTAACAAAATCTCCGGGTGATTCTTACAAGATTATCTCATAGCTGGAGGACAGTAAGGATCCTCAGGTTAAAATGTCCCTTCTGATTCAGCCCATCAGGTGGAAAGGCAGTTTCTCTGCAAGGATCTAATGGGAACGAATGGCTTTGGAGCTCTGCTTCTGATGTGGAAGAAAACAATCCAATGAAAAGAGTTTCTTCAAGGAGCTCAGTGGCTAGTGGCGTCTGTGGGCTCTGAAACCTCTTCTCCAGCTCCAATTATCTTCAAGCCAGATGTGACTTATTCTGCTGGCCAAGTGCATGCTCACAGGGTCTCAGATCTTACGGAACTGGTCTTACCTTCAAGTTGGTCCTGAGAGACTCGGCAAAAGCCTCTCTTTCTTCTTTGTTAAAGTTGACCCAGGTTTCTATGGCCTCTGTTGGGTTCTGGGAACAGGGAACTCCATCTGTGAGCACCAGAGGAGAGGCACCGTTAGTGACAATGCAAAGGGACACACACGTTTACCCTGCTTGTCATTTACTTAGAAAGGTATATGTGCTGTCTTTTTAAAAATTATTTTATTTTTTAATCATTTTATTGGGGGCTCATACTTTTATCACAATCCATACATATATCAATTTTGTCGAGCACATTTGCACAAATTCTCGCTTTATGTCTTATGTAAGACAGACACGTTGGGCTGGAATCCACAAGGTCAACAGTTCAAAACCACCACCTGCTCCACAAGAGAAAGATGGAACTTTCTACTCCTATAAAGGGTCAGTCTTGGAAACCTACAGGGGTTCTACTCTGCCCTTTAGGGCTGCTATGCTTCGGTATTGACTAGATGGCAGGGAGTCTGGTTTTTGGCATATTTGTATAATACCTATTTTAGATATTAGATAAAATATACTCACATGGGAAAATTGTAAGTATGCCTAAGACAGCCTTGTTTCATCAAAATGGATGGCTTGTGTATGTGTGTGTACACACACACACACACACACACACACACACACACTCCTATTTTCCACAGGAGCAATCTGCTACTATAGACTTAAGGGCTCACAGCTAAAGCCCTGCTAGGCCTCAGGTACAGGGTCAGGAATCTTACCTAAAGTTGGCTCGTCAGTCTAAAAGCTTTGTGCTTTCACTACCTTGACTCAATTTACTTGAGAAACTAGTTCCACAGGTACCTGCAGAGTGCAGGACAGATATGAACACGTATACACAGTTAAGAGTAGATTCTAAGTACAAACCGTTCCACGCTACCTCTGATTTGCCCGACTGCTTCCTTGGGAAGGGCGTCTCTGACAGCAGACACACTGCCTCTCCAGCCCACCTCTCTCTGAAGGGCCCTGCAGCCCTACCAGGTATACCATAATGCAAAGGAGCACCAAGACGCCTGAGCTTGCCAATCTCTGGCACAGCCTCTGACCATACCCAAGTCGGCGGGTCTGAGGTGCCCTCTCGCCAAACTCACCCGAGATGATATCAGTGAGCAGATGGTGGGACAAGTGGAGGAACTCCTCTGTGCCTTGCAGCTGGGCCAGGTGGGTCTTGGCATAGTGCTTGGCAGCAGCATAGAGCTCAGAATCACTGTGCCGATCTGCCAGCCACATCACCTGCAGGCAGTTTCCCACCTGCACCGTGCGGGCCAAGAATCGAGAGCATTCCTCAAAGAGAGATGTCAACTGATACATGTCTGACACCTCATAAATCTCCTGCAGCTCGTCGGCTCGCAGTTTCACAGTCCCATGGTAGATGAAATCAACCAAGAGCCGGAAAACAGACTCGCTGACATCCTGCAGCACAATCACCCGGTTGTGGGCCTCCTTCAGGTTGGAGGTGAACATGGACCGGAAGAAGCAGCTCTGGGCTGAGAGCACCAGCCGGTGCAGCTGAAACTCTCGGCCTTCCACGGAAATGGTGACGTCGGCAAAGAGCTCCTCTTCCAGACACAGTTTCATGATCCCCTTTGCCACCCGGCCCGAGTGCGACCGGTCTTTGAAAGTGTAGTTCACAAAGTAGTTCTCGTCCATGGACGCTCCGGGCTCCTCGGGGGACTCCATGGCGGTTGACCTCTCTCTCTGCCGGCTGTCTGCAAAGCAACACCACCCTCAGTAACTCGCTCGGGGGACCCACGGCCCCCACCCGCCGAGGGCGGCGGGAGCCCCGCTTGGCCTTACCCTAACGTGCCCAGGAAGTAAGTCGCTGCCCGCCTCCGACCCAGACTGCGTTCGTGGCGCGGTGGCCTCCACCCCCAACGAGACCGATAAAAGCCCCGCGAAAACACGAAGCAGGCACTCCGCGAGGTTAACCAGCGGCTGGGGGTGGCGGTGAAAGCGCAAAAGCAGGGAGCTACCGGCGGCCTACGCTCTGGCCGGCGCACTGACCCAGTGGCTCGCGGCGGCCAAGTCGGGAGGACGCGAGCAGCCGAACCGGGCATAAAGGACCCCCACATCCTGGGGGCCGGGGCTCTCCGTCCCCAACTCCGGGGAGCCCAGCTTCTTCACTGAGAGGCTCGCCTGGCAGCGCCACATCTTCTCTTTGCTGCGCCGCCACCCCCCGGCTTCCTCGCTCGCCCCGGGGCCGCCCACGGCTCCGTGCCCGACCCGCGCTCCTCGGAGGCCCGGCCCCCGGCGGCCCCGCGCCACCTGGAGTGGCCTGGGAAGCGGTCGCCGGGGAAACCGTCGGCGCCCCGGTCGGAAGCTGGGCTGGGGGGCCCGGGGTGAGGGGAGGGGAGCCGGCGGCGCGTCCCCGCGCCTGCCCCTCCTCTCCCGCGGCCGGCTCGGCGAGGCCCTCGCCTTCGCCCCCGCCTCCGCCGTCCGGAGCAGCTAACGCGGCGCTTACCTCACCGCTTCCACACCTGCCCGCCTCGCTTTCTCACCTGCGCGCCGTCCTTTCATACCGGAGACCGGAACCCCTGCTTCCGGCCTTCTGGGTCCGCCCGGAAGGCGATCCGCTGCACACTCGCTTCCGGTCCGTGCCCTTGGGGCTCCGTGTCCGGGCAGGTTGTTTGCCCGGCTGCCGGGTCTGCGTCCGGGGAACATGGCGGCGGCGGCGGCGCGGGGCTGGTGGCGAGGCCTCGTGGGGGCCACGGCGCTGGCCCGGGGTGAGCGAGGGAGAGTCGGCAGGAGCCGGGGCCAGGAGCAGCGGGGCGCCCGGGGGAGGGAGCCCCAGGGGCCTCACCCCGCGCGTCTGTGCCTTTCTCTCCGGTGCAGGGGCCCGGCGACCCTCCGCACTGTCGCTGCCTGTGAGGACAGCGAGCGGCCAGGCCGACACGCGCCGTGAGTATGTGTGGGCAGCGCGCCTCTCCAGACAGCAGGCGGCAACCCCTGCGAGCCAGTGCCCTTGGACGGGATGCCCTTCCCTGCATCCTCCTGGAGACCTGACTGCAGTGATCCTCCCCCGCAGGCAGAATCGGCCACTTCCCATGCCCGTGGGAGCCCCTGTCATGGCCTTGTTGGCCCCACATGAACGATCGAGCTACTGATTGGTCGGGTTTGTGCCAAAAACACTGTTGAAAGAAACTAAAAGGGGAAAAAAAATCGTTCACCCTGAGCACCTACTCAGTGTCAGGGCCTTCCTGAGCGTTTCCAATATCTGATCTTAGGTGACCCTCACAACAACTTTCTGAGAGAGAGGGCGTTATGAGCCCCATGTTAGACGGATACAGTCCAGACAAGGAACTCGCCCAGAGCCATAGAACCAGCCACAGAACTGGTGCCGGACCTGGCAGCCCTGGGGCCCAGAACCAAAAAATGCTTCACCTTGGCTCTGCACCCTGGGATTAACGAGTGCTTCGGTGAACGGGCAGACACACAGGTTACAGTCAACACAGTCTGATTGGGAGTCTGGAAATCTGGCCTCTCCCCCTTTCGGGGCTTCGTAGATAGCCAGGCATGGTTTCCACTAGCTCATCTGTGAGGGTTCTTCAGCCTTAAGAACCGACTCTGAGGCAAGTGTTAAGGAGGAAGTATTAGAATGTCTGATTCCTACCCTCCAGGGCAGGAGCCAGGCCTTGGGGGGGTTAGCACACTTGCAGGCCCAGTGAGGAAGAGCCACCAGACTGGTAATAAAGGGAGTCTTCGTGGACTGGGCACTGGAGCTCCCATCTTTCTCTGAGGCTTCATTCACCCCCTACCCCCCTTTCTCAAGGTTCTACAGTGAGTCCTACAGGCAGGACGCACAGCTGGCTGGTGCCGGTTCCTTTGCTAAATGTGCCATTTCCTTACAGCCACTGTCAGGCCACGGAACGACGTGGCCAACAAGCAACTCGCGGCTTTCGGAGAGTATGTGGCTGAAATCCTGCCCAAGTATGTGCAGCAAGTTCAGGTACTAATCCAAAGGTTGGATTTTGACCCTGCCCAGCCGAGCCGGGCTGTGGAAGAAAGGGCTGGTGACTGGCTTCCGTAGATGATCATTATGAAAACTGCATGGAGCTTGGTAACACATGGGGAACTGTGAGTGGAAATCAGCTCTGCGGCAGTGAGTTTAATTGTGGTTTGGGGATCTAGAAAGAACTATCTCCCCAGGGTTGCAGCTTCAAGGTAACCACAGGACTCCACCGTTCCCAACGTGGGCTTACCCCAGGTAATTCCACCTGAAGGTAGCTGGAGTCTTTGTTTCCCACCTACCCTGCCTGTGCCCGTAGGTGTCCTGCTTCGATGAGTTAGAGATCTGCATCCACCCTGATGGCATCATCCAGGTGCTGACTTTCCTCAGGGATCACACCAACGCACAATTCAAATCCTTGGCCGACTTAACAGCAGTGGACATCCCAACCCGGCAAAACCGTTTTGAGGTGAGCCAGACATTTCTGAGAAGCCGCCTTAGTTCGATGTGTTTACCTGTGAGTACTTACTGCTCATGCTCCATATGTAGACCTGGGGGATCGAGAGAGAAAGAACATCTGTGATGTGCCCTCCAGAAGCCCCCCTATTCCAGTGAGGGGGAAAGACACCGGATAGGTGGAATGTTAGAGCGACGCTAGAAGAACACAGAGAGAAACTTAGCATTGTCTGTAAGACTTCTTGGAAGAGCGGGGGGAGAATTGAGAGTGGATGCCCAGGAGTCCAGCCAGGAATTAGGCCAGTGAGGGTGAGGTGAGGGATCACAGTGGCTTCCCAGACAAGGACCTTAGCTCATTTCGGGAGCAGCTACAGCTGTGGCCTAGGGCTCTGAAAGTGCAGGCGGTTTGAGTTAGGAAGGAGCTCTGTTCCTGAGTGTCTTTCAGTTGAAAGTGTAGGTAACACAGGACAGGTGCATAAGGTTCTTATTTAGCGTGCCTTCAGGGCAAGGAAAAGGAGCCCCGGTGGCACTAACTGGCGGGCCTTGGGCTGCTAACTGCAAGGTCGTCATTTCAAACCCACCAGCTGGTTCGTGGGAGAAAGAGGAGGCTGTGCTCTCCTGTGAAGATTGATAGCCTTGGAAACCTAATATGGAGGGCCAGTGTAAGGCAGTGGGTTCAATGATTTAAAAGCTGAAAATGCATCAAACAGGTGATTGTAATGAAGAACTAGTTGTGAGGAGGGGTTGGTTTAAAGTAACGACAGATTTGCATACCATTAAAGGGCCAGCAGTGTCTTCAGATGTTCATAAAGTGGGGACTTGGTGTATTCATCAATAATGGGTCATCTTGAGGCTTTAAACGCCAGAACAGAAGGGCTGTTGGCAGAGTAGAGACCAAGCCATTCCTGTATCCTCACTGCCGATGCTCCCACTCAGGGACCCCCCACCCCAGCCCCTCGGCCTGAGAACTCCCTCTGTTCTCCCTAGATTGTCTACAATCTGCTGTCTCTGCGTTTTAACTCACGGATCCGGGTGAAGACCTACACAGATGAGCTGACCCCCATTGAGTCCGTTGTCTCTGTGCACAAGGCCGCCAACTGGTATGAGAGGGAGGTGAGTGTCAGGCATGGCAGGCAGGACAGGCCTTGTGTAGTGCGGGGACCACGGGTGCCTGAGGTCTCTCTCTCTCTCTCTCCTAGATCTGGGACATGTTTGGAGTCTTCTTTGCCAACCACCCTGACCTGAGAAGGATCCTGACAGACTATGGCTTTGAGGGACATCCTTTCCGGAAAGACTTCCCCTTATCTGGCTACGTTGAGGTAGGAGTCTTGGAAATGGGATGGCAGCCTCGGGGAGGGACTGGCTGGGCCTTTGAGGGCCCCCAAGCATGGCAGGAAATGTGGGTTAAAAGCACGGGCTGTGGATTTGAACCCTAGCTTCAAATCTATGGGGCAAGTTACTCTTTCTCTATGGTTATGTTTCCTCAGCTAGAAAACGGGAGTAGGAATAATCCTTACCGGTTTGTAGTAGTAGTGAGCGATGTGTGTGTAAAGTCTGGTGATGTGTGTGTAAAGTCTGGTGCGTTGCAAATGCTCTGGTTGTTAGCCATGGTTATTGTCATTATCACGGCACTTGAGGACACTGGTCTTTTCCCAAGGTCTGAAAGTGGAGGTTCATGTGATCCTGGCCCGGATCCCCAGGGAGGCAGCTCCTGGGAAGACACTTAACTGGTTGGCCCTAGAGAGTGACCACAGGGCCATTATGAAGAATGCCAGTGGTTTGCTTTGCCCTTCAGGTGCTGCAGGGTTTTCATTAGCTGAGAGATGGTCTGTTGGGTACCTATGTACCCGCATGCCTTTTCTAGCCAGGAACGTGTCCGAAATGCGGCGATGTCCCCCTGCTCTGTCAGCCCCCGGATGCCGTTTTCTGGGCCCTGCACGCTCTTCATTTCTCACCAGTAACTAGGCAGAGCTGCTTCCCTCTCTCCCATTCACTCACCTGGTCCCTGCTGTCTCCCTTCCCCGCTTTGCCTCTTCACCCCAGCACCTGATCGTTGTCCCCGTCCTAGCCAGCTGATCCTCCAGTAAGGAAAAAGATGGTGCCAAATTGACTTCAGTGCCTCGGACCCTGACAGTGGAGAGTGTCAACATCACATGTCTCGAACTTGCCTGCTTACCAGTTATTCTTTACCGTCAGCCACTGCCTGCTGCCCTAATCTGGGGCAGTGAGTGTGTCATCAGGAGTCAGCTCTGCGGACAGGGAGCTCCAAGTGAGAGTGGGGCGTGGTTTAGGAGCCTCTAGCATTAGCTGGCTAGGAGCTGACCCTGGTGAACATACTGACAGCCCGGGAAGAGGCTGGCTCTGGAGCCAAGGACAGAGTGAAAGGCCTGGGTCAGAGACTGGTGGTCTTGTGAGAGCGGGCTCAGTAGTGGCCGTGGCCAGCACATCCTAGTGTTCAGGCCTGTTTCTTTTCCCGCAGCTACGCTACGATGATGAAGTGAAGCGGGTGGTGGCTGAGCCGGTGGAGTTGGCCCAGGAGTTCCGAAAGTTCGACCTGAACAGTCCCTGGGAGGCTTTCCCTGCCTATCGCCAGCCCCCGGAGAGTCTCAAGCTTGAGGCTGGAGACAAAAAACCCGAAGCCAAGTAGCTCCAGGGAAGGCATGTGGATCCTAGAAATCGTCCCATCTATGATTATCCATGTAAATAAAGTCCTTTGTGACTCACTGTGTCCCTTGTCTGTCCATGTGTGTATGGGCATGCTTTGGCTAGGCAGAGGGGCAGGCTGCTGGCTGTGGTTCTTCCTTGCTCCAAACTCTCCTAGTCCACGAGACGGCAGCTATCGAGGTGGCTGAGAGGAAGCATGAGCAACTTCTGGAGAAAGCCCCTTGTTACAACAGACTGCTAGGCGGCAGCTGATGGATCCCAGAGGCTGTGTGGAACATCAACAGGGCTCTGAGTCTCACCTCCGGTCCAGTTCCATGCCCATGCCCTGCTCCCTGCAGGTCTGGCCTGAGAGTTGGCAGGCAGAGGTCTCAGGCTGGGGCAAAAACACGGAAGCTGCAGATCTGTCTGCCTTCCAGGGGACACTGCTCCCGACCCACTCTGCCCTTCTGATGCGCTTGGCGGTAAGGGGCTCCCTGGAGGTGAGGCGGGGTGGGGTGTTGGCTCTGGGATGTTTTGGGAGTGAGGACAGTAAGTTCGTGTGCTTCTGGGCTGCTGTTAGGAACACGGGAGGGCAAGCTAGAGCTATTTGCTACCCTGCACCTTGTTTCTATTAACCGAGCAGCCAGCCCATCTGGGCAGGAACAGGATGAGGGAGCCAACAGCCGCAAATTCCCCATTTCCAAAGGATGGAAAGGCCTTGGGAGGCCACAGCCAGCTCTCCCTGTTAAGCACTGGAGACTAGCGCACAAAGCAGGGAGTGCTGACGCGCCTGCAGTGGAAAGCTGGAGCCCAGTGTGACAGACGGCTGGCGGGGCACAGTGAGGATGCTGCAGTTCATGTGGCTGGGGGTGGCTGGCTGCCTCCTTCTCCCTGGGGTGGCTGGAACTCAGCCCCAGGCAGGTATGGGAACGATGCTTGGGAGATAAAGGAGACTGTCATTGGGCTCTGAGCTGAGCAGGGTGGAGAAAATGCAGGCCCGGTGGGGCACAGGCTGACCTGTGCCGGGAGTCGGAACATAATGGTGTGGACCCACTCCCAGAACTGGGAAGGTCTAGGTACAGCCAAGGGAAGTGGCCCGTGGTGCCCTTAATGCTAGCCCTGGAGGAGATTGGCCCTGAGTTTATGGCAGGTAGTAGCCAAAGCAGGGCCATTTGACATACCTGGGCTGGGGACAGTTCATTCTAAGGCTCTGACACCCTGGGGTGTGGGAGGGAGAAAGCTGAAACACACCCAGGACTGCCTTGTGCCTGGCCCCCCTCTAAGGAGCAGGTCTTCTACTTAGGCAGCCTTGCTGACACTGTTGAATTGTACTGTCCCTAGAGCAGAGGAACAGGGATGGAGGTAAAGGGTTTTGTGACCAGCTGGCCTGAAATTGCTGACCACAGGAATTGTGGGAGGTGGAGGAGGCATGGTGTGTGTGTGTGTGTGTGTGTGCATATGAGGGGGTGCCCCCCCCCCAAAATAGGCAAAAACTGCTGGGCAGAACTTTCGTAGTACGAATTTTTCCCTGCTAGGTAAGCATTGAGCAACTTGCTCTTAGTGCACCCAGTGGTGTTACCTGGGAAGGTTCTCTCTGGTCACAGTGAATTTTTTCCTAAAAGTTTCCCTGGAACCTCCTTTTAAAAATGTGATGGGTCCTGAGTTCGTACCTCAGAGGGGGCACCAAAAAATAAAAAAAAATAAAAATGTGATGGCCGATTTAAGAGAACAGGGTGCAGCTGTGAAATTTTGTTTGCTGCTCAGGAAAGATGTCACAGAAACTGTTGTGATGACAAACCTCATCCACCAGGTCAGACTGTTAATCAAGCTTTCTATTTAGAGGCTCTGAAAAGATTGCCTAACAGTGTGTGACAAAAAAAGGCCTGATTTGTGGCAGATGGGGGACCGGTTTTGCCACCACGACAATGCACCTGCTCACACAGCCATCTCAGTGTGCCAGTTTTCGGCAAAAAACAGCATGCCTTTCTTGCCCCACACACCTTACTCACTCCATTTCCACAAATAAAGAGGGACATGAAAGGAAAGCGATTTAACGATGTAGAAGAGGAGAAGAACAAAATGAGGGTGTGGATTGTGATAAGAGCTGTAAGAGCCCCCAGTAAATGATTAAAATAAAAGTGAGAGTGGTGCCGTCAGCAATCTAAACAGATGAGTTTGAAAAATCTTTTCAAGAATGGAATCACAGATTTGACAAACGTGGTAAAGGTCATGGCAAGTACTTTGAAGGTGATAAGGTTGTTTTGTAAAATGTAAATACTTTGGGGGAAAATTGTGGGTTCTTTTTTGGGGGGTACCCCTTGTATATGTGTGTACATGTGAATGGGGAGGCACATAGAATGGTATCCCTGTCCTTTTAGAGCTAGAACATCTAGGGACCCCTACCTGACAGCAAAGGGCACCCCTGGGGAGCTGGGGTATCCAGAGTGAAGCGTGTCAGGGGCCTGGCTTCTCTCTCTGCTCCAGGGCAGCCTGCAGACAGCGACAGCATGGGAGATGGCCTGCAGGAACCAGAGGCCCCAGAAGTGATGTTTGAGGTCTTTCCTCCCAGCCTGGGGCATGGGTGGGAATGTCCAGAGGTGCCCCAGCTTGGGGTTGGGAAGGGCATGTCTCTGGGAGAGGGGAGGGCAGCCCAGCATGAACCCTACTGCCTGCTCATGGCCTTGCCCCCTAAGCCCAAGCCCACCCCTGACCTGGCTCTCCTTGCAGTTACTCTGGGCCGGGCTGGAGCTGGATGGCAGGGGGCAACTGCACATTCAGGATGAGGAACTGGCGTCCACCCACCCAGGCCGCCGCCTCAGCCTCCTCCTGCAGCACTGGGTGCCCAGCGACGTGGAGGGTGTGGAACAGCGGCTGCAGCAGCTGCAACACCTGCGCGAGGGGCCTCCTCTGAGCCCCTGGGAGTTTCAGCAGCTGCTCCTCACAGGCCTGTCCTGTGTCTATCGGCTCCACGCGGCCAGTGAGGCAGAGGAGCGGGGCCGCTGGGCCCAGGCCTTTGCCCTCCTGGCCCAGGAAACACTCTGGGACCTGTGTAAGGGTTCCTGCCCCCAGGACCAGCTACCTTCACTGGGGCCCTAGGCCTTGACCTTTAACCCCTTCCCCTGACCCTCCCTCCCACCTGTCCTTATCCCTTGCCCCCAGCACCCTCTTGGACCTAGACCCAGTCAGGGTGGGAACTTCCACCAGGCCCCTTCTATACTTCTTACCATGTCCAGGTCTGTGTTTGACTTATACTCTGGACCGTCCTGTATCCCCCAGCCCCTCTCTCTCTGAGCCTTGCTGGGCTGACAGCCAGGGCTCTGGGTCCCAGGCAGCAGGTGCAGGGCGAAGGACAGGCCTTGCTGGCAGTGTAAATGTGTGTGTGATGGGGTCAAGAGTCAGGCTTGGCAGAGATGCTAAAAGGCCAGGTGTCCCCAGGTATCGATCCAGCCCAGTCCCTGCCCTGTCTACCTGGCAGATGGTGAGAGTGTGTAGGTTCTGCAGGAATCCTGTCACTTAACTCTTTAGATGGCACTTTTACACCCAACCAAGGCTCTGGGGGTCCCTGAAACACCACGTGTCCATGTAGGTTAGGAGAGACTGGAGTTGAGGCATTCTGTCTGTTGGAGGAGTGGAGCAATGGGGGAAGGGGGGATCTGGAGCTGAGATCAACATCTTGGAAGAGGAAGGGGCTGAGGGGGCAGACATGGCGTCCAGGTGACACGACTGGGGCTGGGTCAGGGGCAGCCCTGATCCCATAAAGTCCTTCCCATAAAACGTTCTGTTCTGGCCTCCTGAGTCTCCATCCTTCTCTGTGCGAAGCTGTCTATCTTCCGCCCGGGGCAAGCCATCCTCCCATCCTGGGAAGGCCAGGTGTTGGGACAACCAGGGGTCACCTCCCCCTCCAGTTCTCCCCACCCCAACCCCTCCATCCACCATTCCTTGCATCCCACATCCCCAGGGCAGGGGAGGTCACTGGTTCTAAGGAGGAGGATGTGAGCTACACCAGGAGTCGCCAGCCCCAGAGTGAGCCAGCAGAGAGAGGGTCAGACCGAAGGGCTGCAAATGCATTAGTGGGAGTCAGGACGTCAGCACATTCCCTGGTTGGCACCCACTCAGGGTCTGACCGAATTCTGACCACCTCTGCCCCGCCCACACCCACTGGGCGCCTGCGGGGGTCCGGGCCACCTTCCCTCTGCCCGAAGCGGCACAGTCCCGACAGAGCACAGGACCCGCGGGGAGACAGAGGCCGGCGCTGGCCCACTTTATTGGCAGAGTCCAGCGGCGCTGGGCAGGCCGTCATGCTCGCGCCGGCGGGGAGTTCGGGCCCAGACTCGGCATGCAAGGCCCCGGGCCGCACGGGGCTCCTCTCCGCCCGGGCTCAGAGCTCCGGGAGCCCGGCACCCGGCGGACGGGCGGCGACGTCGGGGTCGGGGTCGGGGTAGACCAGGAAGCCGGAGAAGGTGATGTACTTGCCGTGGTTGCTGTAGGCGCCGTAGCCGTCGTGGTCGTGGCTGAGCAGCCAGACGGCGTCCCCGCGCCGCAGGGCCAGCATCACGCTCTGGCTCTGCATCTCGCGGCGCCGCGACGCGCCGTCGTCGTAGATCATGGCCTGCACCTGGTCGCGGTTCTTCATCAGCTTCACCGAGAGCGTCTTGCGCGGCAGCTTGCCCAGCGTGAAGGAGAAGAAGTAGGCGCCGGGCAGGCGGCAGCGGAACACGCCGGCCTCCGCGTCGAAGTCGCCGCCGATGTTGACCAGCTCGGTGTCGAAGGCCAGCGGCCGGTGGCGCGGCCCGGGGTCCGCGTCGGAGCCCACCAGGC